GTATGAAAGAGCTTATTTTTCTTATTCTCTGTGTGGTACATGCTGCCTGATTATGTAGGTTCTGCAGGAAATGGAAAACCTGTCCTTTTTTGCTTTGGAAGGTGCTTATCTTGTGACGTTACTGAGAGATAAGTTGCTGTATTTTTAAACATACAGCATACTTCACTATAAAAACATCATTGCTTAAAAGTGAACCTTCACATCTCTTCAAGTCCCCTGCAAAATCAGAGGCAAGAGTAACTGAGGGAATAACGACGAATGGTATGGCCAGATTATGAATGAAGAAAAGGTTCTGATTAAATTCCTCCCTTCATTATTATGTACATGTGTATAACTTATGAGCATTTTTGAGAAATAGTGCTGATACTGCTCAATGTTGACTCCTTCAATTCTAAACTATATTCTCTAATTTTCAATTATTTTGGCATTTCTTGGTCAAGAAAAAACCCACAGAATTTGTCATTCTTTATGGTGCATTAAAATGATTTTATCACTGCTATTCTTTACATATTCAATGTTCTCATTATGTTTGATCAGCTGTTCAATGTAATTATGCTGACCAGAAAATTACAGTATTGTTTCTCATAGGGCTACTGTGCTACCTTGCAGACCTCCTTGGCAGATGTAGTATGATGCAAACTTTTAGTTTACATCTTTTTTTGAAGTAGATTTTTTTTTTTTAAATGGAAGATAGCTATTCTTAGCTAAAAATTGGTAATGGTGAAGTACCAACTGCAACTGTGGTGGCCACACTGTTTAAATTTCTGACTATTTCTAGCCTTCAGTTTTTAGTTATTGAATCGTAATGTTTTTAGGACAGAACAACCCTTTTGAATTTTTGTTGCCTGTGAAGGTACTTTAAAGTTGTGATCAGTTTGCACCATAATTTTTGTTTTGTTTTGTTTTTTTCCTAAAGACAAATTATGCTCCTGCAGTCATTCTTTGAACTCTCTTCAATATATCAATATAGTTTTTAAATTGTAGGCACACAAAGTGGACACAGTGTACCTGTAGTGGTAGCTCTAGTGCCAAACATGTTATAAGGTGTCTCTTCACCTAAAGCTTTTCTTGTTTATGTCAAGAAATTGTAGAAACTCTACTAGCTTGTAATAATGGGATATGAAACATAAAACTTGGAATAGAAATTGGATAATAGAGCATTCTTCAATATTCTTGGCAATGTTGTGATGATACTTGGTAGCTAGAAGTTCCCACTGGGTAAACTGAAAAAGAAATGTGGTATATACTTTTAATAGTAATAATAATTAACAGTGAAAAGCATGCATGTTGCACATAGCTCAGGAATAAGTAACTTTTTCCCTTTTTGTTATCCTTTTTAAAATAAAGGAATTGTTGGACATATAAAAACATTAAATACATAAAACATACATATAAAGACCACCCTTTGTTATAACAATTCAAGTTACATTCAAAGGTAAGAGCATGTTGAAGTTTGCTATTCTGTTATGGAACAATAGTAGTTACATGTGAAAGTTCTTTATGTGTGAAAGTAGAACAAAGGAATAATGCGTTATTACTTTATCAGAATGGGTAACTTGCAAGGAATGAAGGATTAGTTTTGTATTTTTCTGATATCTGTGTGTGGCCTTATGCTTTTAATTATTGTGCAAAGTCTTGTTTTAAAGATCAAAATGTTAATTTTCATTTATTTATGTAGTGTGTGTCCACAATAGAATCTGAATACCTCAGAGATGATCTATTGTTATGTCTCCATTCTGCCATTGAAAGATAAGTATGTAACCTGTATTTCACAATTAAGAAGGATATCTACGCACGGCCTTCCTGCAACAGCCATGCTTAAATCTGTGTTGTAGGAAGGATTGGTCTGCCTGTAGCCCTGTCTTCAGGCTTTTTAGAATCGTAGGCATGTTGCCAAATGTAAGTCCTTACTATGCAGTCAAGAGGTGGGAGGTGGTGTTTTTCAGCAGGTTATGTCATCCAAATCACAGTGGAATTACTTAAGATGATAGAAGTAGGACGTTTCCTTTGCCAAAGTGCAAAGCATCACTTCAGACAGTGGAGATACAGGCATTTCTAGAGAAAAAGCTTAGAATAATTTTCAATTTGGGAAAACACTGTGCAGTGCAAAAAGCTGACACTGTTGTGTCACTGTGACGTACTTTTCTCCTAGTGTATATTCAATCTATTCCGTTTCCATAGTAGTAGTTGCTTTTATGTTCTCAGGTCAGAGACCATGTCTCTGCACAAGTGGAAATTATTTAGTATAGAATTGCACTACTGAAATAAAAATAAGACATTGTTCAAAATAGACTTTTGGCATATTATTTTTTTACCTTCTTATCTTTTGTTTTCTCAGTTTCTAAAAGTTCACGAGAACTTGTTTTACTTTCTTTTCTATTATCAAGCTGTTCTATTTTATTCTACAATAACAGTCCTTGGATGATTGTATAACTGATGTGACAGAAAAGCACTGAGAAACAGGTGGAGGGTGTTGGATCTGCTCCCCATCGTATTTCTAAATGCTCAGGCTGGTCTTGGGTGTTAGGAGCTCGTCATGGCTTATTCTTGTTAAAGCAATATGTAGTACTATGATTTTTTGTCTCTGATCCTTGATTGAGGGTAGTAAGATAAACTCTGAGTTTGTTATTGGCTGAGTATGTGGCGGACTGTCCTATGCTTAGTTGAAATGACATTTTTAAAGCAAATTCAACCTCATGATGAGCTTCTTTTCTACTATAATGTGTAGCAGCATAACCAAATGAATCTCTAAAATATTACCTCTGAAGATGTGGCAACTGAAATAGTAAGTAGTGGAGACAGACTGGAAAAGTAGTTTCATTGATGTGTCTCAAGAAAAATACTAAGGATGGAGTAGGTAATAAAAGTGACATGAGGATGTTGGTCCAGCTTGTGCTGATGATATCCTCTGTGCTGACAGCTTCTTTTTTCCTGTTCTGAGGGTGGGCACAAGAAACAGTAGAAAAAGGTTAGTTGATTGGGCTGACTGCTACCTGCTTCAAAAAAGCTTACAGCTCTGCTAGGGAGATGATCCCAGAGATAACGCCTGCAATCTTTAGATGGCCCTATGATCAACCCCCTGGAAAGAGCATCTCAGTGTATTGTATTCCCCTTTAACATCAGCATATTCAAGATAAAGGGGCTGCCTCATTAATTTAAAACTTATTGAATAGGTAGAAGCCATATCTGTTTAACTGTAGACAAAAAGAGGCATGCTCCTAACCCGGTAGGCAGATGGAAAAGTGGAAGAGTGCTAGAGATCAACGGTGTGGAAAGCTGGTGATAAGAAATTACTGATTATGCTATGCTTTGCATATCAGTTGAGGAGAATAGCAGAGAGGAGTGCACACTGCCCTTTGGGCGTGTACATTAGAGGCAGATAGACAACATCTTGGACCAAAAGAAGTCTGGCTAGACTGTTTAGATTTGAATAAATCAGTTATGTGAATGGAAGTACAGGTAAGTAGAAGAATAGTAATGGTATTGCTCCACTCTGGTCTATATGATGTCAGTGATACGTGACCAGAGGCTTTCCAGTTGTCTGTTGACTATGGGAGAAACAAATATATTGAGGGTTTTTCTAGTTTATTTTTTCAGGAGGTTTTTTTTTCAGAAAATACCACCCTGCACTGCAAACATACCTGTAAAAATAACCTCTCAGGAAATACACAAATATAGTATTTAAAGACAGGCAAATTTCTACTGGATTTTCTTATTACTACCATTCACAGGCATCAAGTTATGCAAATGGCCTTGTGCCAAACATGCAAAATTCTCCTTGTGGCCCTTGCCATATCACTAACAGTTCTGTCTTGCTCACTTCAGAGCTACATAAGAACACTTAACAATCTTACAAGATAAGTAGTATTTTCAGTATTTTGAAAAGCACTATACAACTCTACCTTTCTCATTCAAATAAATAATTATGTGGAGCAAGTTGCGTGTATGACTACCATATAAAATGTTATCTCTTCACCATGTCTATTGAAAATAGGAATTTGTGGGTGGCTTTTTGGATTTGTCTTTTAGGTGTTTGAGGGGAGTCGGTGGCTAAACTGTGTGTGGGTGTCACACATGTAATTTATTGTTAGGTTAACTGGTATCACAGTTCATAATCTATGGGCACTAAAGTATTTTTATGTCATATATTAACAACATTCGAACACTATTCACATTCTTACATTTAACATTAGTGTGTGGTGTAAGGACAATACTATTTTAAGACAAATAGTGAAAAAGTGGAGTATGTTGTTTCTCCTGTATTCCCACTTGTTGATTTGAAACCCCTAACTACTTTATCCAGTAGAACAAGTTGTTTCATCTTTCTGTCATTTTATTCCTTAGCAAGCAATCTGAAGCATGGTAGTTCTGTGAATTCACATCAACAAAAATGTCACATGGACTTCTGTGTCCTCCTGTCTGCGTACTCTGAGCTTCTAGAGCAATGTGTTATCCAATCATGTACTTTCAGCTACATTCGAGGCCCAGTGGAGAAAGATTTTCATCATGCATAATTAAACACTGCTATCCTGGGGTAAAAACGTTGGAAAAAGAGTGTTATTAACGCAACTGTACCCTATAGCTTGTTGAAACAGAAACCACAGCATTGTTGTTTTCAATAAGCATCTAGTGAAATAAATTATGTGTATGTCTTCCATGAGAAACTACTAATAGTTTAGATTAGTTTAGCAGGCAGATGATAGGGGCTTTTAGAAGACTCAGCTGTCATTTCACAGTTTATTTTTAGTAAGTAGATAGTCAAAGATGCAGTTTCTGTTGTGCCTTTTTAACTGAGGCTGTGATTCTGTTGAATGAACTTTCGCCTGTCCTTTCTTTGGTATGGAAATGATAAAGCAGGATGTGTGAACTGGTAATATCAGAAAGCAGCATTGAATTGTGCTATGTATGAGAAAGAGAAGCTTCTACTAATTTTGTTTGTACTTGGTAAGTGAGACAACATGCCGTTTGGCTAACTCTTGCTTTCTTTTCTGCTGGTACAGGAGATCCATCGTCGATTTGAAAATGCTCCTGACACAGCCAAGACAAAGGCTTTGCAAACTGTTATTGAGATGAAGGTAAATGATTGCATATAGGCAGCATATAGCAGAGTTTGTCTCTGGAAAATGGGTTTCCATATGAAAGGTGACTCAACCAAATACCATGTACTTCTGTCAGTCTTCTAATTTAAAATAAGTATATTTATTTTATACTATTTTATTATCTATTATTATTGTATTTGTTATTATTGATCAATGAAGAGACAGAGCTGCTTCATGACACAATAGAAACCTGCCTTCTGTCTGCCTGCAGCAGTATATACAGATTTCTTTCAGTTAACTAAGTCCATTCTATTACAAGAATGGGAATGGTGGATCAGTAGGTTTTTATGATGTGGGTTATTTACTTTTTATAGTATCAACATTTGAAATACTGCTTTGCATTCTGTATGTCAACCAAGTTAGCAATTTGCAAACTCAGAACCCACTTAAAGAACAGGTCATATAGCTAGAAAGATGTCTGTATGTCATCATAAACCTGACTTTTCTAGATGAATTTGTGATTGAATTCTTAAACCATTAACTGAAGTGTCTAATGGAACAATGGCAATTTGCCAAGAGCTCAGGAACCACAAGAGGAGTGTGTGGTTTACACAGCTTTGTGCAATCATATTTCATATAATATGGTCCACAAAGGACATTAGACAGGGTTTAGACAAATACAGTTAAAAAAACTGGAAACTGTCCTTGCAAACTATTCTCTTCCATTTTTGTATCCTCCCTTCCTCCCTCCTTCTTTATCTGTGCCTTTTTCTTTTATTTTCTTTCCTTTTTTTTTTCTGTTCCAGCTCTTTCCATCCCATCTCAATGTTTTCCGTAGTCATTTCCCATCTTTCTACTCTGGATCCTTTCATTTGCCATCTTTTATTAGTCATATCTGTGGTCCCTAGTAATGAAAACTAATTGACCATCTGGTAACAATAAGCCATCTTTAATTTCAAAGGTATTTCTGGGAAATGATGTGAGTGCTGAAACTGAATACTGTTGTAAATTACAACATATCACTTCACCTTACTACCTCTCTAATTTTTTGTTGCAGAAGTCTGCTTTACTGATTTTTAACTTAAGCATCAAAAATTAAGCAGAAGATCTGACTAGATCTTTGTGATGGTCCTTTAGAAAAATCTTATCTCATGAATGAAAACATGTATGTGAAAATCTTTCATGATTTTTTTCAGCTGTGCTTTATCAGACAAAAAAAATAATGAAGGATTCCTCTGTGAAAGAATGGAGGATAGTTTCAAATCCTACCTGTATTTCAGGAAAGACAAAATATTTTGGAGCAATGAAATAAAAAAAAAATAGACTGCTTTAAGAGATTACAATTCATAAATACATATCCATGTTCATGAGAATGCATGAAGCTGTGTGTTGTATGAATCTGTTCTTGCTATTCCTAACACGTAAAACTTCTGAAGAAAACAGTAAACCAAGTAGATTGAAAACCCCTGATCCTCCTGTAAAACTGAGGATAATGGTAGATTGGCTTTTTTATTTTTCCAGATGTATATTTTTTAACTGTGGAAATGTTTTATATGTTGTATATATGAACCAGAGTACTTGAAAGATCCTCTACTGCTTTATCCACTTAAAACTAGGTTGTCCACTCAAAAATAGATTGTTGCATCTTTTCGTTGCTTATGGTGCTTTTTATGTACTCTATTTGTGTCGCCAGTTAAATTACTAGTAGCACAAACCCATTTTTTTGACATTCTTGCAGTCACATTTTGCTGTTCATTCAATTAGAATTAAGTATCTCTGTTTTACACTAGCTTTTGCCTTACAAGGCAACCTTTTTTCATGTTCCTTTATTTATTCATCATATACTGTGTTCCTGTCCCTAACCATGTTTTATTTCAGTACTAAACTCTTGCTTTCCTTGAAAGGTATAAAAAAAATTGAAAAATGAGTACTTGAGCACTCAGCCAGATGCTATGTAAAGAGGTGTAAACTGATCTCTGTAGGAACTTCAGGAGTAAATGTCAAGGGCATGTACATGCCCAACAAATTATTTCCGGTTTTTTTACTCCAGTGGTATGTTAACAAATCATCTAACTGTGTATCTGTATTTAGCTCTTCTAATTGTTTTCAGGATTCAAAAATTTCTTCCATGGAGCGTGGTCTCCGGGATTTGGAAGAAGAGATTCAGATGTTGAAGTCAAACGGGGCTTTAAGCACAGAGGAACGTGAAGAGGAAATGAAGCAAATGGAGGTGTACCGTAGTCATTCCAAATTCATGAAAAATAAGGTATTGAGAAAACAAATTACAGTAGTAAGATAAACTGAGCTAAGAGAACAGATGAGAGAAATTTTCATACTTCAATAAGGAGGTACAGTCTGGGTTCCCTTTCAAGTGCTAGGAAAGAGAATTTATTTGTATTCTGCCATGAAGCTGCTAAAATAACTTAAAAATATTTAAGAGAATTTTAAATTCAAATTTGAAAATATTATAATGGTGGTTCAGTAAGGTCAATGGCCCAAATTCTGCTTTTATTGTCACACCTGACTTTCTTTTATTTCAGAAGGATTTTGTGTTTATCTTTAGACCATTGCTTATCCATTATATTTTAAGTTTTATTTGATCTAGAGTCTTTTCAAGTGTAGTCTCTTGAAAAAAAAAGTGTTTCTTTTTGCAACTATTGTACTGTAACTGGTAGGTCTTTTTACCATGTAAAGGCTGAAAAGAGCATGAACTTTTACTATAATGGTGTTTCATTATACTCTTCTTCCAGTAGCAGAGTCAGAATGAGAGTAGATTCTACAACAGTGGTGGTGCCAACATTAATTTATGCCATGGGGAATACAGGACAAATACAGCAGTGAGACATGTTGATCCTCAGATATAAAGATGGACACTGACTACTGAATTGTGTATAGCCAAAAGTCAATTCATTCCCAAAGAAGTTTTTCTCAGTCTTTTAGTGGGCCTTAACATTTTCTAATGAAGATTCAGACCACCTTGTACAGTAAATTTAAGTGTATTGTGAGCAGTCCTGCTTTTCTTGGTTAGCTTTTGCATACTCCGTGCAAGCAATGTAGAAATTCCTGGAACAGAGGTTGAAAGTTACTGTACTAGGTCCTGAACAATTGTGACCTACTGCATTTGTCCTGCTTGTCCAAAAAAGAATGCTGGAGAAAGTTTCTTGGAGAATTGTTATTTGCCTTTAAGTAGAAACATGTAATACGAATGTATTTCTTCCACTTCCCTCATGCTAGCTCACTGATTTACCTCTGGATAACCACATCTGTTCTTTTATACTTTTGCCCTTTATCCCACTTAGTTGCTTCTAGGAATTTAAGTATATACCCTTCAAATTAGGAATGGAGAGATGATTTTAGCACCTCTTCCTTCCATCATTTCTTCTTTCTTTCTTTCCTTCTTTCCTTGTTAGCAACTCTTCAGTTTCACCTTCTCCTCTCCCTCTGTGGGCCTATAGATCTCTTCAGCTACTCAATTTCTGGATCTCTTCTGTCTACTGTGTCTGCTCATTTATTTTCCTGCAGAAAATTTGCTCCTTTTTGCTAACTCCTTACTCATGACTTGTAGCGAGCTGCAATCTTGCTATCTTGCTGCCCTACCTTGTTTTGTAATTGCACAACATTTATTTGTTCAGTATTATATAGTCATCTGTGGCTGTACCTTGACAATTAAAACCTTATTTCTCTTAAACTGAAAAAATGTCCTTTTTCCTATCCTAATTTCCTCGTGATTTCTAGTTTCAAAACCGTTCAGTGAAGTGCCATACTTGACATATATAAACATAACCATAACTGTAAATCTTTATTTCATAGTCAACTTCTTGTCTGGCGGAAGAGAAAATGAGTGACCAGTGTTGATCCTTTTGTTCAGTTCTTTGTCACTTTTAGTTACTTGGATTGAAACAGGCTAACTAGAAGCTGACAAATAATAAATATTTAAAAGCATAACAATGTCGTGACAGGTAGAGCAACTGAAGGAAGAGCTAAGTGCCAAAGAGGCTCAAGGGGAGGACCTGAAAAAAAGAGTGGCTGGTCTCCAGACTGAGGTCTCTGCAGTAAGATTTATCTTTTGTGTGCAGTGGCCATTCACTGGGGCTTGCTAGCTCTCTGACTTTTGGGGTAACTTTTCTTCTCTTACCTTCTTTATGACTTAATATAACTAACAGTAGAACTAACAGCCTGCTCAACCTTGTAGCTGCGTTTTTGTTCACATGGTTTTGGTGTCCATAACATCACTCTTCAACTGAACATGTATATTTGTTTTGTTACTGTTTTGGTTTTTTTTTTTTTTAATGGTATGATCTGTTTCAGCAGTAACATATTCTTCTCTATTGAAGCAGAATATCAAAATATTCGACACCCATTTTGGGGCCAGACTTTCAAAGAGATTTGCTTTCCGTAGTAGAACAAAAATAATTTGAAAACATGTACTGAACCCTCTTAACGTTGTTTCACAAAAAATAACAAAAGCTGGATGCTCAATGCTTTTAAAAACTGATTGTTTAATTTTAGCAGCATGAATTTAGGTTATTCCTTTGCTGTGAAATTAGTGCATTTGCTGAGTGATCATAGTGTCTCACCGAGAAAACAGATATAAGCACTTAATGCTGTGTTAACTTCTCTTGCAACTTGGAATGGTATATGCTGCATTCTTCCTAAAGAGCTTTAGCGCATTGGCAGTGTGGTCTTACAGCTCTGAAGTGGGGAATTCTGGAGAGAATGATCTTAGTGTGCTACTTGGGAATTTTAATGTAATGAAATGTGGTTGTGTTTAGATGAGAGCATTTCACCAAGACACAAGTATTTAGGGTAAGCATCTCTTCTGAGATGACCCCCAAAAGAATTTATCTTTCCAAAGAAAGACCAAGCTGGTTTGAGAAAGTTTTACTATAATTCAGGTTATCTACTAGTAGAAAAAGTTTGTGTCACCTGAAATTTTTAAGGAGGCTTTTTTGTTTAGATACTCCAGAAAACGTAACTAGTGGTAAATAGTTTGTCTATTTCCAGCTATTCTGTTGTACCTAGTGGTATTGTGCAACTGGTTGTATTGGCCAGTAGCTGGCAGCAGAAATAGTGCTGTTAACATCAATACTTTTCTATTAATTTAAATAGGTAGTTAAATTATTCTGTGGACGTATTTGCTTTTAGCAGAACCATGGAAAAAAACCAACCTAGTATGTTTGAATTCAGTGAACAATAAACTATTGAATAGTTCTATAAATTAAATTCTTCTTATACTCCTTCCCATTATTCCACTTTAAAAAAATTAGTTTGTGTGAGGTTTTTTGAGATACACATCCTGCTTCTTCCATTCCCCTTCTTCCTTATCTCCTCATGTATGCTGTTTCATACTGGAACACGAAGTCCTTGATGACATCTTTTGATGCTATTTTAGTACTCTTTGGTAAAGAGTTTTCTTTAATTACCTGTTACTGAAACAGTGTTGTTGAGATAAAACCACATTTACCCAAGCTTTTCCTCTCAGTTATTTCTACTAGTATGTGCATTTATTCTAATCAAAAATAAAAATACAAAAATTATAATTTATAGCTTGTATCTATTTAATTTTGTTCTTGACACATTCCCAAAAATGGAGGATGACCTGGACAATTTTTTAGCTTGTGATGTCCTTTATTTTCTGTTTTGAAGCATTGGACAACATACTTTTGGGATTGAGGGATTATTTTTTTTTTTTACTGTCACAAATAAAATTGTTCAAGTTAAAAAAGGGAGAACTGTTTAGTTTTCAGAGATATGTCCACCTCTGCTATGTAATATGTAAAAGTAAAATACTGCTGTTTTACTCCATGAGATGTATCAGAGGTAAACCAGAAAGTTGGTTATAAACTTGGACATAAGCCTACATTCAGACTTCCCTGTCCTATTTAATTTTTTTTTGTGGGTGATGATTGCACTTAGAATGAGACTTCATCTAATTTCAGTACTTTACTTTTAACATTTCTTACTGTTCGTCTTTTTAAATGATAATCCAACTTACATTTATTGCAATAAATTGGCATTTCCATACTGATTTAATTCACTAAATTAAATCTAGGAAATTGCTCTCAACAAAGTGCAATTCCACAAACAGTTTTCATGTTGTTTTGATATTTATTTGCATTTGCTTTAAGAAGCTTGCGTAAATTAAAAGGTATTTCTTGGAAGATTGAAATGCTGGTTTTGTAAATAGTGGGAAAAGTAAAGGTATCTTTACATACTCTGTAAGCATGAGGCTGGATTGATAGATGAGAGATGGATGGAAACTCACTGGTTTGATGTTTCAGAGCAAACATCATGCCTCTGAGACACCTGGAGGTATCTCATCTTTTCTGTTATTACAGGATAAGGGTACTTTCTCATTATAGTTCTGCTTCATCTTCATAAAAAACTTACCCCTGCTAAGTAACTGGGTTTGCTCAGTCCTTTGAAAGATGACTAAGAACAGACTGACTCTGTTAAAAAGAACCTCTCTTGAAAAATTGATGCTATTGCTCCCCCCTCTTTCTCGTTGTATCTTTTGCTTATGACACAAATTTTTGGTGGCCTTCCATTCAAGGTAACTGAAGGCTTCACAATTCTGTGGGTTAAGTTTAGAATATCGTACTGTTTGTTGGTAGTTATGTGAATTTATAGTTATTTTTGTAAGGAAGGTATAATTTTTTTTTTCCTTTGCCCATCTTTTCTTTCTTTTTCAGATTGGTCAGGTGAAACAGGAGCTGTCACGCAAAGACACTGAGTTGCTGGCCTTGCAGACAAAGCTGGAGACCCTCACAAACCAATTCTCTGACAGCAAACAGCATATTGAAGTTCTGAAAGAGTCTCTTACAGCTAAAGAGCAAAGAGCTGCCATCCTGCAGACAGAGGTAAAATGGGCAATTCTGTACTGACTGACTTTTCATAGAGAAAGAGATAAAAAGTTCATCTTGGCTTAGGTTATACAATCCCATAGCCATTCAATACTGCTTGTACTGAGTATGTTGTATCTTTGATTAGATGTTTGATTCTCTAGGCCAGGGCATTCATAGTAAGGACAAATATGTGTGTGTAAGTACAGACATATTCCCATGGATGAATACACACTTTTATGACGTGCTCCTATAGCATGGTCACTAGTAGTATTTTTCCTAGGCAGAGCTAAATTGGAAGTTGCAATGCCTGAGCTGGGGGGATTTTTTTCAATGATCTTGTAGCTAAAAGAGAGCAGAGAAAGGAAGAGTGTTCCAGTAGTATACAATTTGCTGAGGCTTCACTACTACTGTCAGCATGTATGGGAACTCCTGCATGTAAGCCTGTGCTTACACCTGAAATATGGGCTTTCATGTTTTATGATGCATATTCCAAGATAAAGTTAAAATATTTTCAAAACTGTGTTTTGATAACAAATGCTTAATAAATTCCCATATTATGTAAGACAGAAGTGTATATCTGAACATCAAATGGATAGTAAGTATAGCATAAATTTATTGTTTCTGGACATTCTTGAAGAACAAGCATGATATGTGTGAAGAGAGCGTTTCAATCCCCTGGCTTGGAAAACTGTAGTGTTAGTAGAAGTCCAAAAGATGGCGGTCATGTATCAAGAAATATTTGTGTTGTTACAGCTGAAACGGTGAAAAGCCAAAGGAGCTGTGAAATAGGCATGCAGAAAATTTGTGGGTAACACTGGTAGAAAGATTCCATGTTACAAGAGTGTAAGAGAATTTATTGGAACTTTTAACTCTCATGCAGCTTTCCTTTAGCCATATTAAGTGAATCTGTGGGTGCACATGGCCTTGTCCATGTGCAGAAATCGAGTTACATATTAAATATCTTTTGATGTTCTGAGATGGCTTTTCTGATTATTCTCAGATTTATGTAGAAGTTGAAATTGCATTAGTTGGAATAACTGTGAAAGTGCTAGTTTACAATCATAAACTTCTTGTTAAATTTGTTCATTCTTTTTTGCTAGTCAGGAATGTAGCCTAGATTCATACATGTTTATTTAAAAAATATTTACATTTCAAAATATCATTGAAAATAGGTATTAGGTAAATAAACATTTTAAAATGTAAATTGCAGGTTTTGATCCATTACAATGATTAAAAAGAATATAGATATATCAAATGACTGTGCAGTATTGTGACAAACTTACGAGGCTAGAAACACGATTCTGTTCTTGCTTTTAAATAATGAAGAGCAGCACATTTCTGCCCATGAGAGATTAAGTTCTTGAAAGAATGTACTTTATTTACAAGTTAAGACTTCAGTAGATGGTCATAATTTCGGCTGTTACGGTAGGTAAACGTATTTATTGAAATAAAACTTATAGAATTTAAACAAAGTATTTTAAAAAAAGACTTGGTTATATGTCATTGATAATACTCTTAAATAGTTATTCAGAACATTTTGATTTTATTTTACCTGAAGAACAAAGTAGTTTTTTAATATAGAAAATTATGCAACTCTTTAACTTGTAATATTACTAAATAATCATTGAGAAAATTTGTTCTTCATCAAGTTGTTCTTAATGAGATTGTCATATAGCACAACAAGACAAAACCAAATTGGATTCTTCCTCTGAAATGTGAAATGTGTGAACTCTTATTTACTAATAAAAAGTGGCTGATAGGTGGGGGGTGGGTGGGAAGAGAGAGATTTTTCTACTTAATGCTTTTAAGTTATTCACATAGTTTGCTTCTAGGTACTGTAAGAGAAATGTAACAACTACATTAACAGTGAAAGATGATTTTCTGTCTTTCAGGAAGGAGTTGCTGTGGAGCTAAAACATTAATGATGCTGTTTTAGAATGATGGTTTTATGTTAGATTTAATGGATTCAATACAGTCTAGCATGTTCTCCACAGTAAGATGTAGCAATCTGGTATGGATTTAACACACACAAAGTGTTGTTGATTATCAGGCTATTCCATTGTATCAGAGTAGATATTTAGAATGATCCATTTATGATCCTGAGAATTTTTATGTTATTCCAAGAAGATATTTATACTTTTTGAAAGATAATTGCATCTTTTTCATCTTTATTGATGTTCTTGACAAAAAGCTCAACAATTAAATCATCATACGCAGTTACCTTTCTTCTGTCTTCAAGTGATCCTCTCAAGTATAAGATTGGAACAGGTTGATAAAATACAGCATTGAGATGTTTGTTGTTGCATCCTGTGATGTATTTTGGGTTTTTTTAAGGAAAAGGTATCTTCCTATACAAGAGTTTTCACTGGGAATAGTATAGGAATGCGAGATCCTGCCTGACCTTACTTCTTGACGGCACTGGTCGATTTTAAATCGTAACTAGCTTCTCTCAAGACGCCTGGAGAGAGTTGTGAGGAGGAAGAGAGTTGCATTTTCTGTCATATATTGGCAGACACCTTCATAGGGGATTGGTATTTTAAAGTCATATTTAAATAAACATTTGGAGAGAAAAAAGAATACCTTGATAAGCCTCTGCCTTTTAGTCTTCTAAAAGGTAGGTCAGAAAAAGATGTTGGTATAATATCTCAAAAATGAATTTGCCACTTGCCACACTAGAACTACAAAGAACAGTGAGCTGTTTGTGGCGTGTTTATGTTGATGGCTGTTGGGTGGAGAGGATATTGTGGTTAACTTTTCAGTTTGTGAAAAAAACTTTAAAAATAGCTCTAAAAGTGTACAATCTCTTCGTAAACAAAACAAAAAATAAATCAATATTTATTTTGGAATTAGGACTTCATCTATATAAAGTTTGTGTTTTGCCCAATGAGCCCTTTAGCTTAGGTCAGTGACAGAAGGTACGTGGCTTCAGTGGGAGGTTAAATTAATCAGTAGAGAACATTCCCCTTTATTTTTGTTAGCACCAACTACATGAAGACCTATGCTGACACCTGCAAACATTAAGCTCAGCTCACAGAATTGAGTTCACCATATTTAGGTATATAATACCTTGTGCTAGAGATTGTGGAAGAACAGTTGGACTGATTTCTGACCTGAGCAGGCCCTGGAAGCAGTACTTCTGTAGTGCATTGAGTTTATAACCTAGCAAGAACATACAGGCTCTGCAGAAAGCCAAGTGTGTGTGCCTCTGCTCCATGGCATAGTCATGTAATCTAAGTTGTTCAGATAACTGGGAGCTGTATGTTCATAAAGAATTCACTGTCTTCTACAGACCGTAGCTGAAATTTGTATAAGAAGGTGAAGAGTCAACTCTAATGTAATTAATAAGAAAGATCAAAGTCAAAAACAGAGAATTAAGTCTTGTAAACTACCACTGTATTCAAAATCAGTTGGTAAACATAGATTTTAAGTCTTAATTACAGATTATGCTTATACAGAGTACAGATACATATATTTAAGTCTTAATTAAGCTTACCTTTTTTGTGTTTGTGTGATATGTTTGCAAGATAGTACTAAAATGTTGCAAAACTGACCCTTTTTAAAATGTACTCATTTCAGGTACTCGGAGAGTTCACATAGCAATATCTACATTAGGATAAAAGGAACCTTCACCTCGCACACCAAATATCATTTTATGTCTTTCTCTGCATTTCTCAATTACTTTTGAATTCTGAGTGCTGACGTAGAATTAATTCAACATCTACCTTAAAAAGTAGTTGACTCTTGTTAGAAACTATAGCAAGCTCTAAATGCAATTTCAGGATCGATATTCTGTCTGTTTTGCTACCTTTAATGTCATACCAACAGAGAATAAAAATTTTGAATTTTGCCCTTACAGAGAAATCAGGGCTTGGGTGTTACATAGGGAAGATTGTACCTTCTGATATAATTGAATGGAGTATGACTTAGTTCACTGATCTAAATCAATAGTTCAACCGTGATTTGAACAGGTGGCGGGTAGATGGGAAGGATCGCTCAGTCTCAGGAAAAGAGTAGAGCACTTTTTTTTTTTCCTAGGCATCACTGACATCTTCCCAAAACCGAGTGGGAATCACCAATGTCATAATACTGATTGCTACTGTACAGTGGAGATGATGGTAAAAATGAGAAAAAACATGTGTGCAATCTAAGTCCTATTGACTGAAGCTCCTGAGTCAGTTCTGAAACTCACTGTGGTCTTTTGAAAATTTTAGTGATTTCCCTAACGTATAAGTTGGGAATATTCTGAAAACTAAGACTGTAATTACAGAATCTAAGATTTTAAAAAAAGCTTAAGAATAAATTTAAATTAAATATTATGTCATTTATTGTGTTTATTCTGGTAGTCATTGGAGCTACTAATGTACTGGTTTTTCTTAGAAATTTGGAATTCTGCCTGCTTAATGTATGGCTATACGTATTAGGAACAAAGTCATAGAGTATTAGTTACTGCTACTGGAAAATTCTGTGAAGACAGATCAATGGTTCCCAACACAGTTTTTCATATATTGTTCTCACAGTAAAGAAATGTAAGTCTTACGTATGGTACCCACCTGAAGAGAGGTACCTGTTTGTACCTGTACGTAGGAAGGCTATTGTATTGAAGGTGACAACAAATGTGCTTATTTTGCTAAAGCTTCTTGAGAAATTGGATGGTATGTGCAGGTCAAGTTAGCAAGTCCATTGTTATACGAAGGGCCAGCAGTTGCCTGAGCTGTACTGTAAGATTTTACTTGCCATGCATAATTAAAGACATGGCAGTCCCTAACTGCTTTCACAGTAATATTAACCCAGGGTTAAGACAACACCATCCAAGATGCAGAAGTCAGGAGAAGGGGCGTCAGCACCTCAGTAGCTGTTTGCCTAGTCGTTTTCATGTGCAGAGAAAATCTTAAGCTGACTTTGTTGAAGTTGGCATCACCTGACTCCCACAGACCTCAATTCTTGTCACTGTGGGAGGATGCCATACATAAACTGAGCTGACATGAATAAACAAGTGCAGTGTTCTGCCAGGAATAGTGCAAAGGTGATGATTGTGTGTCCTACCAGCCTTTGAAAATACTCTTGAAAGTGTTTTCTGTGGTTTCCTAGGCAGGGACCTCACACAAATAAAACCAGGAAGGCAATTTACCCCAAACCATAAGCTAATATAGAGTTCAAAGAGAATAAGCCATCAGAAAATGGAGAGCATTCTGGGGATAAATTTCTGTTTGCAGATGTTCTCTTTTCACTTAATACTGTGCTGTAGGGATCTGGACTGTCTCAAATATTTTGCAACACAACTCGTGAGAGTATATAGATTTGCTTGTGAGGGAAAGTTTTGGTTTCCCTTCAAGAATTAATAAAAGTGACTCTTAGCTTTAATATTAGAGATATCCAAAGAACATACCTAATCAATCTAGAAAACTGTGTGTTTAAAAAGAAGACAAAGCCTGATCCACCTGCTAAACACTGGCAATCCTGTAAATCATATTTGGGTAGTACCTGGTACTGTAATATCACTGCAGAATATACTCCATGCCCCACTTGCTGGGTGAAAGGTGAGGAATGTGATTTTAATAACGTATGTGTAAGTGAGAAGGCTCCAGACATAGAGGTGGCCAGCGGGATTGCAGTGCTGATGGGGAGAGCAGTGCGGTTCTTTTCCCCACTGGCAAGTGCTTATTGCTCTGTGTAAAAGGAATCAGACAAAACAGCAAAGGATTTTTCTGGGCATAACATACTGTAAATGTAGAACCTTAGAGGCAACTTTTCCATTAGCAAATCAAAATAAAGTGGAATTAGAATAGCACATTAAAACTAAATGTTGCTCAAAATACCATAAGCGTTGGCTTATTGATCACCCTGTTTAGTCTATGTGAGTGATGTCCTGTAATGGATTCAGCTAACAGGAACCAAATCTGATACTGTCAAATAAGATTAGCAGCCAAGCTGGCAGATTTGAGGTCTGTCTGAATGCCAAGTGGATAGGGGTCAGTGGATTTCTTTTGGTATCTTGAGCAGGTTGGTGGTGTTGGATTTCGTATTCCACAATGGTCTTTGAGGTTAGTCTGTGCTCTGTGGTGACCTTATTCTTCTCATCAAATTTATATTCAGATAGCTCTGATTCCTTCTCCCATTTCTTTTGTCTTGTGAACTCTGTGTTTCATTTGTGTAAGAGAAATGCAGAAGGAAAAGCAAAAGCTTCTCAACATGCATTTGAAGTTTGAGGCTACCATAAAATTCCCAGAGTATGTTTCTAAATTTATTGATGCCGTGGGAGCTCTAAGCGTGTTTGTGTCCAAGTTGCACCCACAATATTCTGCACTGTGTCGTTTGTCCTATTTTATCTTTAGTATAAAACTGCATCCTGCTGATGTTAAGTTTAAACTATTACATTGCTATTTAAGCAAAAATATTCTTAGCCATCAAAAGGTAATCCTCTTTCCATGTTTTCATCTGCAGTGGCGACAAAGGCCTCTGCTTTCATTACCTCTAGGCTCAGCTAATACTCTAATTAAAACCTAGAACATGAAGTGACTGTTTGGTACTAAGAGTCAATGCTTAAATCTCTGAACACTAGTAATGTTTCAAATAAAGGGGTCAGTTTTCCTACATATGAGAGAACTTCTCAACAACACACTGTGTTGGCTTCTACTTCAAGGAAAAAAATTCCAGACTTGTATCTCATAAGATTGAGTTATATCAGAAGTATGATTTGAGATTTTCCAAGAAGGAGTGTTAGTCTCATATAATTCAGGAAAAAAACATTTATTTTTACTGTTTAGTCTCCTGCCACTTGTGATAACTGTTTTGTCACAAGCTTATGTACATTGAAGTCTTAAAGTTTTCTGATTCTGTTTGTAATTTGACAGCACTCACTCCCTTGTGGAAGTGTAGTTTAACTTTTCTAAAACATCTTCCTTCGGTGCTAAACAAACCCCGTTTCTCCATATCTGAATCTAGGTGGATGCATTACGATTACGTCTGGAAGAGAAGGAGACTATGCTAAATAAGAAGACAAAGCAGATTCAGGAGATGGCAGAGGAGAAGGGGACTCAAGCAGGAGAGATCCATGACCTCAAGGACATGTTAGAGGTGAAGGAACGCAAAGTTAATGTTCTTCAGAAGAAGGTAAGATTGTAGAGGTCTAAGTCAGATACACATTTTTGGTGCATCTCAATTTCTAAGTCTGTCAAAAAGTCTGAACTAGAATTTACATTCTGGAGATTAATGACTGAGTTCGTTCATGTAATGGGAATATGATGAATGATGAATTTCAATTTGAAGTTTTTAAAAAAGAAATAGAATTCAAAGCAGAGGTTGTTGCCTTTCAGTGGTTGCATGTACTGGTTCTGCTTCCATTTCACTATTAACAATAACTGAAGTAATTGTAGGAGGGCGCATCGTCTGAAAAATCAATCCTTTCACACCCAACCACCTTAACAAAACCATGCTGATTTGAAGCATAAGGGACTAGATGACTGTGACTTCAGTATGTGACTAAATAGATGAAGGGTTGTATCAGTAGAAGCAATTAGGATAACTCCTCTAATTTACTGAGAAAAGTTCAGAAAGAACTTTATATAAATTTCATTAGAAATGCTGTTTTATCATACTTAATATTTCTTGGGAGCTGCTAGAATAGGATAATCAAGGTTCAGACTATCCTGCAGGTCTTTCTGGATAAGAAAACGTAGATCTTATCAGTGAAATGGAGGAGGTCTGGATAAGAAAAAGTAGACCCTGTCAGAGAAATTAGAGAGGTTTCCCAAAGGGCATTGAGTACTAGGGCAATGAATGTCATTATAGATGATTGTTTGCAAATTGCACACAATATATCCCAAATTGCTGCTACACATGTTAAATAGAGAGAAATGCATATATCACAATAAATTTTAATTTACAGAATATTTTTTTCCCCATCTTTAGAGGAGCTGCTCTTGGAGTTTATATTCAATGTATTAGGCTGTGAATGTGGGGTTGGTTTTTTGTTTGTTTGGAGTTTTGTTGTTTGGGTGGTTTTTTGTTTGTTTGTTTTTTTGTGTGTGGTGGTTTGTTGTTTTTTTTTCAACCTAGACCTTTAAGCAGTTCTATGGAATTGTTGTGATTTTAGTGGTTGAGAATATTGATTAGTTTCTGATGCCTGGCCAATGCCTTTTTTTCGAATATATAGTTAGGAATCATGAGGGTTTAGGTCATGTTCAATTCTGTTACAGCAAACGTCATGCAGGAACAGTCATTAATAATTCTAGAACAGAGCCCTAATTCCCAGTCTTCTTGGTCTCATTTTTTGACTGTTTATCTCTTTAGAAACACAGTTGTCTAATCTTTGTGCTGTGCTTTTTTTCTGTTTTCAAAATCGGTGATGCACACTCCAAACATTGGTTGAGATCCCAGCTGAGTGTTTAACCAAGAAGTGAGGAATCTGATATTTGCATAGATGTTAAATGTCAGTGAGGTGGTTTTACTTGCATTTACTCTAACACTGTTGTTTCATGTTTTCTTATTTGCTCAACTTAACTCTTTAGAATCATCTTTCATTGATTCAGTTATAGGTAGTGCTAAAGGATCTCTTTTTACTCATTTTCTTATGCTTGTTTTCTTGAGGCCATTGCAATCCATATTAAGACAGTTTCATCTTCTCTTTTCATGTGGCTAGCCTATATTTTGAGATTCTTTTGCTGCTGCTTTCAAATAAAAAGTACCTGGTCTCTTCAGATTTGAAAGTAAGGACCCAAGCTTATATAAAGGCCTTGAGGTCTTGTTCTTCTGGATAGCTCACCAGAGGATAACACTACACAATGATATGTGGCTATGCTGAGCATTTGGACTTCTGTTCATAATTTTGTTGTTGTTTGTTTTCTGTGACTATTTTAGATGTAATTCTATTCTGTAATTATAGATATAATTACCTATTCTGATGACACTGATGACAAATTGTTTGGTGTGGTGCCCAAAACTGTGCTATACTAAACTTCTGCAAATTCTGTTGTTGAAACAAAAATTATTTCAAATGCACCCTTTACTATTGGGTGTCTGTTTGGATTCATTGATGCAGACCACTGCATGATTCATTTTATGAACTATTAGTATGATTGTTGTATTGATTAAAAGTGGTGAACCAGAAAGTATACTTTCTGGTCATTCTAAAATGTAGCTGAAGAAAGTAATGAAAGTTTACTGGCCGATTAGAGATCGAATAAGACGCAGAAGAAGATTATAAGCAACAAAGATCTGAAAAATTAACATGACAATTGGCATCGCTACTGATACCCAGTAGGCGCCAAAATACATTTTCCAGGTTGCTGAGGAAACCACATGCTTCAGGTTTTAAATTCTGGAATCTTTCCAGTTCTAAGCTCCTACAGTGATGCTGCTTGGTAGCACCTATATTTGAGACAACAGAAATAGGGCAAATGTTAGAAATTTGGAGACTATGGAAATGAGTTTTCACTTTATCTGAAAATTTGTTGCAAAAACTTAGTTTTATAAAGCTTCAGGATTTTTTTTTTCCTCATTTCATTCAGAATAAATCTGGTGCATAAAATCTCATTTTAAGTTGTTAGAACTCCAGGCAAGGGGAGAATGTCAGAAAATAAAATGGGGACCATGCTGGGCAAATTTGAAATCTGAACCTGAAAAACATTAAATTGTACTTCATTATTCTCTTTGCCACATCTGTGTCTGCTGGTAGACCAGGATGAAAAGGAATTTAAAAAAAAAAAAAATCAATACTTTGCAATCAAAGCATTTTAGAGAAATAGCATTTGAGAAGAAAAGAACAGTTACCCTGAAAGAAAAAAAAAAGGCATTGAATCAATCCCCCCTTGCTTTGGGGGGAGGTCATGCTTTGTCTTGGGGAGGGAGGGTTAACACTCCCTTCATTGTGCCATGCAAATAAAACGCAGGCATTGCGCAGGCAAGTAAAACGCAAGTTTTAGTGTCTGAACGTAGCAGTGATTTTTGACACCTCCCCATGCACTGTGTGATAATTGACCTGTGATAAAGTAAAGGAAGAACACAGGTATTTTTATATATTTTGGGGGTTTTTTTGTGGCTGTGCTGACTTGAGTAGCTAGTATTCGGGAAGTCTCCAAATGTAATTTTCCTGCTCTTTTGGATAAGAAGCATTGCCTTTTTCCAGAGGAAATAAATGCCCTCTGCTTCTCAAAAAGCTTAGAAATTAAAATTATTCGTAATGATAAGAAAAGTTGCCTGTCAGGAGAGACAGACTGCAGATGGAATTTATAACTCAGTTGTTTAAAATCAGTTGTGATCATATTTACTACAACAGCAGTGTTGGTTTAGTATTCATAACTTTTAAAGTTCAGTGTTTGCACTTTAAAAAGTATTTTCTTTCCATTCCCTCATCTGTGAAGTAGATTTACCTCCTCAAGCAGCTCTTCTGCTCTAACCCTGAAGAGATGAGAGAACACAGAGAAGGAACTGCATTTTCAAAGATTTAATTCAGTTTATGGTAGTTTCATCTTCCCTGGTGTGACCTTGACCTTGCCTGCCAGATGAATGAATGAATGTATAGTTTTCTAAGAATTAATAAAATGCAGGATGGACTTTTAGATACTCCTTTGAGACTCTATATGATGACATTTAGTGCTTAAAGGTCCTATAGTATTAACACTGTAGGCAATGGTCCATTCAAACCTGCAGCGCGTGTCTGAGTCTCTGTTTATGCAAACTATACAGAAAAGAACAAAGTAAGACTACCCCAACAAAGATGGTACGCATGCACATTTACAAAGTGGGTGAGCATATACCCACTTTTAAGACTGGATAATTTTTTGCCTCAGTAATATGCCTGTGGGCAAGCTTATTATTTGCTTTTTACATGCTCAAATCATGAACGTTTAAGGAGGAGCACTGTACGGTGCTCCAGGATCATATTAGTCTGCTCATCAGCCCAGCTTCTGCAGGGAGGTAGAAGGAAGATATACTGGACTTTCTGCTCAGCTAGGACTGATGAAATAGCTATTTTTCTTCAGGAACTCTGTGGCTTAACAAGCAGTGCAAATAGAAGAGTATTTCTGTAAATATCTCTGTCGGAAAAAGCCATACTTCTGCTCCTTTTCCTCCAGGTCTCAAGGCATGCCACTGAACTGGTTCCAAACCCAGTTCAGAGATTTCAAACACCACAAAAAAGGCCTAACATCCCAACAGGCTTGTGCTGGCTTCTTTATTAAAACTGACAGACATGACCTCAAAGATGTGTCCTTGAGGGTCTACAGGGGACTTGTCCCTCCATGTCCCTGAAGGGATATCAGACCTCTTCTGCTGCTGGATTTCTTTCATTCAGGCCTTTCTGTTATAGGCTTGCTGACTACCACTGGTCGTAAAACCAAAGGTGAAATTTGTGGCTTTTAGAAATTTCTAGAAGCTATTCTGTCTAATTCGTTACCCTGTGTCTGCAAGATGCTAGAGTCCCATCTCTTTTCGGGAATATCCTCTCAGAAATGCTTGACCATGTGGGATTGGATTTTTAGATAGAGATATTCTCTTCAGTTAGAGTAATAATAGGAAAAATTAGACAAGCTTTTAATCCTTCATCGCTGTCAAAATACCGCTAGATCAAATTTTGTGGTAGCAATGAAAGTGCCAAAGACGACTAGAGAGGCTTCAGTATGCAAGTTCAAATTCAGCATAATTATCCTGTAAGATTTTTTCATTTCTGCCATTCAAGAATGAGATTAGTTGTTTAATTTCCACATGGGATATAAGGACACAACACAGAATTTATTTTCATTTTACAGTGAACCATGACCACTTTAAAAATAGGATCTGTACCCTTCCATTACGACTTTCCACTTCTCTGGGAACCCATTGAGACTTTTTAGAGTAATTTCAGCCCAGCTCAGGTGGCATGGTGTGTCTTTTTTCTTCTGTGAATGTATGGCTAATAAGACATTATTAAGGCAGGGGAACACCTCAGTTTCTTCATGTCACTTTTCAGCTCTTTGCTAGTTTAGTTTTAAAGGTGACCAATTACCATACAGATCTTAGAGTTTATTACAGCAACTTCAGGTTCAGTGTCAGCAAGATCCCTTTCCTCTCAGGAGAGGCTTTAACTTGTGAGATGTGATCTTTTTTGATTCTTTCTGAACCATATAATAACATAC